ACTGAATTCGTAAACTTGATCTGGTGTGTGAATTGAAAAGCCGTAGCCGAGCGGGGGCCTCGTATTCGTTAAAACCCGAGGTGACGTCATAGCCTTTCGTGCCTAATACAAATTTGCCTTTCGGGAACGCGTCCTAGAAACCAGCAACGCATCAAAAGGTAAGTAACAAAATTTAAAATGACAACAAGTCGTCATTAACCACGTGATCACAATCATACAAGACCCACGCCGCTGATTATTAAATATTATACAAACAATTTACATACAGTGGGTTGTGTACTCGTCTTGATTTTATAAAAAATATGTGCACAGAAAGATTATTAAATTTGAGCACAAACAAGCGTCACAACAATACGAATGGAAGTGAATGTTTTATATCATCAATTTCCAGTCTTATGACACAGACATTAGGATATAATTACCGTTGCTTCTCCAGAATAACTCGACGATCATCTGAATATCAAACTATCCAGGAAGTTAATTAATTGATCTTAAACCGGGCATCGTAAAGATTAGCTTAAAGGTCGCTTTCTGTAAAAAATCCGTCTGGAGAAATTTGAAAGGAAGGATCAGTCGAGGAATCTTAGGAGTGAATCAGGATAAACATCGAGGTGAGATCGAGGCATCGTCAAAGGATGAGATAGAGATAAACCTCGATGGATAAAGATCAGGGGCGTCGACCTCGGGAAGTCAGAACAAACTCGAAACAATCAGATCGGGCGTCATTCAAAATCAAGAAATAATCGTCGATCGATCAAAGAGGCGCGTCATTTTCGAAAGATCGGAAATCCGGCGCAAATCAGCGCATCGCTCAAAGATGAGTCAAAGCGCATCGGCTCATCGATCAAAGCACTTCTCGCTTCATCGATCCAGATCGTCAAGAACGATCGCTTTAAAGATCGATCAAAGCGCATCGCTCGAGCATCAGGCGAATTTCTTTCTCGAGATCGATCAAAGCGCATCATTTCCTCCATCCGTCAAAAGCGTCGCTTTATCAGATCAAAGCACATCGCTCGAGATCCGTCCGGCATCGACTCAGGCGATCAAAACGCTCGAGATCAGATCAGGCGCACGTCGGCACCAGATCAAAGGCGCAAATCCGTACTTCATTAGGGCAAAGATCAGGCACGCCAAAGTCAGATCGATCGCGATCATTTCAAAATCAGATCAAACGCGTCGATCAGGCGCGTCAGATCAAGGCGCGTCAGATCAGGAGCGTCAGCTCGATCAAAGCGCGTCGCTCGATCGGATCAGATCAAGGCATGCGCTCGAGATTAGATCAAAGCTCAGGCGTCAAAGGCACTCGGATGGATGAGATGGGAAGAAGATAAGCATGGAAGGATGAGATGGGGGAAGAAAAGATGAGCATAGAAGGAGGTAGGGAAGAAAGGAAAATAGGCATAGAGGGATGAGATGAGGAAGAAAAGATGACATAGATTTCCACTGTTATTGTAAATTATAAATTCAGCCCAAACATGTTTGCAAATCTAGCCATTTTACCGAAAAAAATGACAATATTTGTACTCATCATGCGTGGGATAAAATGCCATTGATAATGTAAATCTAAAATTCAATCTCAACATCGATCTGAAAATAAAATGAAAGCAAAATCTTGCAAGTTAGCGTTAAAAATTGTCAATTTAAAACGTAATTTCGATAAATAAGTACATAATCTAAGCATAAACATATTCGTTTCATTTTAATTTACAATAAAAATACAAAATGAATTGCAAGGTCTTATGACACTAAACAAATTGAATGATGCACGAATGCCGAGTAGCAAAAAGAATTAAAGTATGCGCTAGAGGAAGTCACATCTTGAAGAAAGGTCTAAAAAATTTCATGAGTAAGGTAAAGTGTACTAAATTACTATACCTTATATCTAACCTTAACCCTAACTCTAAGCTAACACTTACTCCAACCATACCTATATATCTACAGCTATTAATACAACCTGTATACACCCAATCCCTAATCAAATCAAGCCTAGCGCCAACCATATCTGGCCTGTATCAGCAGCTATGAATATATTCCTCTATATGCAATCCTAAATCCAAATCCTAATCCTAGCTAACAATACGTACATTTCCTTTATCCGCAGGAAATGAACGAACAGTGAGGCAAGCCGCCATCTTGAACAGGGAAAATTGACGATATTTACGACTAAAACCTCTTCAACCTTCTTTTTCTTGGTATGGAGTCTGCAGGTATCACAAACATGCTACAAATGCATTATGAAGTGCGATGTTGATATCCATGGAATCTACGCTAACACAAATCCTCTGGTGGGTCCACCATGTATCCTGGTATTGCTGACAAAATGCAGAAGGAAATAACTGCCTTGCCCTCCACCATGAAAATCAAGGTTATTGCTCCACCAGAAAAAAAATACTCTGTCTGGATTGGTGGCTCCATCTTGGCCTCTCTTCCACCTTCCAACAGATGTGGATCTCGAAACAAGAATACGACGAATCTGGACCTTCGATTGTACAGAATGCTTCTAGATTGCTTTGACGTTTAACAGTTAATTAAAATATATGATAGAGTTGGTTTGTTTTTATTGTTTTCCAACGCCGTATCAAAGGTCCGCATTAAAAAGGAAAATATTATGGAGTTTGTTGACTAACGTAGCATCAAAGTTGAAATAAATGGCTTTTGTTGGTTTTATTGCTTCCTTCGTTCAAGACCTGATTTTCAAGTGTTCTTTATTTATATCTGTAAAGTTATTTGAATTTTAAATTGTGAAATTTTGATGATTGAACACATAATTGAACAACAACACACTCCTCGTTTATTTTAGTGGCGAGCATGCGCTGTGGTGATAACACTGACATTTGACAGTCATAATGATAATATAATAATAACAAACATGTGACAGTCTTATGACAGCTGATTATGATGTGTAATGACCATTATGACCTCATCACCTTCTCAGAAAATGACTTCATCATCAAGCATTTCCGAAATCTGCCAACCAATCAAATCGAGTTTTTTTTTCACCAATATAAACAATCATCAATGCAAGTAACCAATCACTTTCAAGGCACATGATCAACATGATTACGTCACGATGGCATACTTAGACACATGACGGGATGCTAATGTGAAAATGTTACAATGGCAATCCTATAAGTCTATATATGACATACGACCATACATAACATCGAACACGTTGGAAAGCCAAATTCGCAACTTTGTTCGTTTTTAGTTCTTAACAACAAACAAACGCAATATGGTGAGCGTTTTGGGGCATTGTGAGTAAATAGAAGAATTATTTACATTTGTATCGATTCATTGACACTGAAAGTTGCTAGCTGTTTGTGATACAATTTTGTAAAACTAGCATCCGTCAACCGGAAGGAGGTCTTACAGAGTTTCTTGCAGTCAAATCAAAAAACCTTATAAGTATATGAAAAGTCTTAATTATGATGCAATCGGATCAGATGTAAAGGAAGCTACGTTAATTCGTGATTTAAAAATAGCATTTTTCTGACTCCTGACTCATGAGTGTTAGCAAAGTGTCACAAAAAGATTGGAGTTTTTTATTAAGTAAGTGGTACTTTAACTGCTTTTTAGATCCTACGAGTTGATGGTTTTGCATTCGTGATCTTTCGAAAATTTAAGACTATTTTAAAAGTACCATTTAAAAACTTGCTGGGAGAATGTCAAAATTGAAACAATTTGGTCTACTGATATGGAAGAATTTCAAGCTTCAAAGAAAACATCCGAGAAACGATTTTTCAAATAGGGTTACCAATCTCCTGTCATTCATACTCCTGGCCTGCGATTGTTCACTGCCAAAGATTGCCCAGCCTTGGTTTGGAATGAATTCAATGTAACCTCTCCACCACCTGTGCTAACAAGATCATTCTCTATAGGCTTGGCTGCAAATAATGCTTCTCAACTGTCACATGAGCTTTTGAACAACCCATTTTATAAAGTAAATGGTTTGTACATTTTATCTTAATGAACATGCTTCCGGATCAAATTATCACCTTGCAAATATTTCCAAATGAGGATGACATGGTTAATGAAATAATGAGCTCCTCTGAAGGCAACTCTACCAAATGCATTGGAGGTATATACTTTACGTCTCCCATCAAAACAGGCTAATTTCATCAACTACAAGCTGCTCGATTCATCAACCCAAAGAAGACTCTGGCCTTGGTAAGAATGGCCATGGCTGGTTGACAAAGTATGTTTTCCCGAGGTTTCAAAATTCTGAACCAAGAAGTAAAGATGATTCCCATGGAGGCAGTCCACACTACTATAGTACCGCTTTCTTATTTACCCAACATGCAGTAGATGGAGCTATTATTGGACAGTTTGCTAATCAAGACCAAATATCGGTTATGGAAAAATTTCCATCCCAAACTATTTTAAGGCTCCTTCAGTTCAAATATTCAATTTGTAATCCCAGTCGTCATAGCAATTGCTTTTCTTTTTACTGCACATGTGATTGTGCGTAATATTGTATATGAGAAGGAACAAGGGCTAAAGGTAAGTTGTAATTTGTCTTATTTGCTGAGATCTTTTATTTCAAAGCCTGCATCAGAGTCAGAGAAATAACTTCTTTGGATCTTAAATTCATATTAAGATTGTTCACTCCAAATGTTGTCAATGAGCCCTCTTCGACATCTTTAATTAATTTGTAGTTCAGTTTTTTGAGAAGACTTGCTACTACAGCTTTATTTAATTCAATAAAAGCTATATCTTTAATTCATGTGTTCTAATAAACTAATTAAGTTAGGCATTTCATGTTTTTTAGGAAACTTTAAAATCATCGGCGTCAATAATTGGCTTCATTGGGTATGGTTTATTCAAAGTTTTCTTATTTGTCTTGTTGCAGTTGTTATAATGACGCTTCTTTTCACGATAAAATTTAACAGTAATGGAGTGTTATCGACAAAACAGCACCCCAATATTTTTCATCTATCTTTTGCTTTATATTACCTCTGGTATTATGTTTTGTTTCTTCGTAAGTTTTTTCTCCAAGCACCGCTGCTGCAGGTGGTGTGTATGATTTGGGTCTTTCCCTTCCCAGTCGGCTTCATATGGGAATCCTACGAAAAAATGTCGTTCACTCTTAAAGCAATTGCATGCCTCATACCAAATCTTGGCATTTCTCTTGGAGCGATTGTCATCGGCAAGTTTGAAGGTAAGTTAAAACGTTGATGGACTGTGGGTGTTGAACCGCTTTCGTTTTAAATTACTTTCATCTGAAAAGGGATGTTCTTCATGCTCATATAAGTTCATTAAGCCCGAGGTTCATTCAATAAGGATTCTGAACCGATGCTTCTGTAAATACCAAAGCGTTTTCAACTTTTCATTAATTCATAAAGAATTTATAAGTATCCTAGTAACCACAGTGTTAACAACAGTTTACGAACAATGAGATGATTTCTGAATACAAGTGTACAAAGAATGCCTGTAGGATTGACTTATTGTGATGATTTCATGACTATGTTACTGATGCATAAAGATTCTAACTTGTCTGCTACATGCATGTTTTACATATCTTTGGTACTATCGCGAAAGCTTTTCTTCTCCTGGGAACTTAAAGCCTGGTTCACACAGTGAAATAAGGATAAGCACAAGCGTAGACAAAAGATAAAACAAAGATAATTAACGAAGCATGTGATATAAGCCTGCATCAGAGGACATAAGCGCAAGCATAAAGAAAATATTTAAGAATAAGCTAAGAGAAAAACAAAGAAGAATAAAAAGAAGATTTAAAGAAAATCTCATGATGTCTTCGTCTTTATAAACTTCTAGAGCAATAGAAAGAAAAGCCTCGAAGCTCGTGCAATTTACTCGTGTTAACCTGGCTTAACATTTAACGAATTTCAAAGCTTCAAACTTCAAAACTTCAAAATAAAAGAGATATGGTTGAGAAAGGAACATAATTCACAAAAATGCCTATATGAATATTACCCCCTCCCTAGTTATTGAGCTTGACACCACTGTGCAGCGTTCATGTAGTTTTAGGCCGACATTGAAAACTTCCAATTTGTTTCTAATTTTACGTTTCCTTTTCTCTAAATAACGAAAATATACTAATCTCGCCATGAAGGTCAATCCTGCGATAGTTGCGGTGACCATATTCATATGTTCTTTCATGCCCGTCTGATTTCTTTTGAAAATGAACTTGTTTTAAAAAGAAATTAGCTTGGCATAGCAGAACATATGAATCTGGTTTCCCCCCCAATCAACACAGGATTGACACCAATGATCCCGCCAAAACGTTTTGTACATTCTAGGATCCGGTAGCGGCGTTCAATGGGATAACCTTTTTGATGGTGTTGATGTGGACGACAAGTTCTTCCTCGGGACTGTGTTCATCATGATGATTATTAGTTGTCCCATATATGGTATGCTTACATGGTATATTGAAAATGTGTTCCCAGGACAGTATGGTACTTCAAAACCTTTTTACTTCCCATTCACCAAAAGCTACTGGTGTGGAAGCTTTGAAAAGGTAGCTTGAAATTTTGCTTGATGTTGATTGTGTAGGTTAGTGTGGTCCTGAGAAGGGCTGTTGGTGTTAGTGTCGTTGTATCGCTTTAACAATCTTCCCGGGCTTAAACTATTCGCCTTAACCGTTCGTTGCATGAATTTTTTCGCCGCCTACCAGCAAAGGGTTAATTGTAATAAATTCTTATTGACCTCATTGTGAAGATTGTCATAATATTAGAAATCGTATGTGTTGTTTTGCTTGCGTTGTTAGAACGGTCATTTTAGGCTGCTGGAGTGTGAGATGTCTTCCACGACTAGCAAAGCATCTGAGCATGCGCAGTTTAATAATTTTAAGAAGTTTCTGATGATTAATTTATCAACAGACGAAGTTCAAGTCAAGTCAAATTTTTTTTCGATGCGTAAGTTTAGTGACTGCTTGCTGAATGCAGCTTAAAAAGTATTATAGGTTTTGGTGCGTTATATTTGGAGTGATATGTGTAAAATATCTTTCTGCCGCAGGTATCAAACGATGAAGAAACCTTGCCATTAAGAAATGCGGAAAATTTCGAAACATCGAAGAAGTTCGAAAGGGCTCCTCAAAGTCTGGATGTGGGGATTGACATCAAAAATTTAGTGAAGATCTATGACGGAGTAACAGGTAGATGACCTGGACGGATTTACTGTGGGTGTAGGGAGTGCAAGCCTCTTAGGCATCACATTTTACCCCTTGAATATAACTGTTCACCCCACGAAACGTTTTAACCCCCTTTTAGCAAAACAAATCCCTAGTACAGTTAAACTGAGTTTTCTGGGCAATGTTTCAACTTTCTACACTACCTTCGGTTGTTGCACTTTAGAAGCAACTTATGACGTCAACATGTATGACTGGGGCTCACTGAGCAACAGTTAGATGACGTCACAAATCTTCTACTACACAGTACAGAAGCCAATTATGACGATAAGATTTGCTACAGTGAAACAGGTAGAAACCTCGACCTTACAAATCTTACAAGACCAAACGGGTGCCATTTAGGACGTCATGATTTATGACGGAGCAACCGGAAGATGACATCACAACTCTTACTACACAGTACAGAAGCAAATAGGACGATAAGATATGCTACAGTGAAACAGGTAGAAACCTCACGTTACAAATCTTACAAGATCAAACAGGAGCTATTTATGACGGAGCAACCGGAAGATGACGTCACAAATCTTACCAGACATTACCGAGTTTAACTACGGCTTCAAGTTACGATAAACTTTCGTGTGTTATGCAGGTAAAAAAGTCGCTGTGGACGATGTTACACTAAAGATATACGAGGGACAAATTACGGTTCTTTTTGGTAATAACGGAGCTGGTAAAAGTAGTTTGATGTCTGTCCTTACCGGTATTTATTCTCCTAGTCAGGGAACTGCTGTTGTCAATGGTTACGACATTAGAACAAGCATGGATGACGTACGGTCAAGTTTAGGTCAGTGAAGAAAGTAATAAGATGTTTTTGAAACATTTAAAAAGAGTTATGACTGTTAGGTGCAATGGTTTAGCCAGCCTCTAAGCTCAAATATCTACATAATACAAGCAAACTTGGGAGCTGGCTACGCCGCCAGTTGTGGAAATTCATACAATTTACAATGTGAAATGACTGAGAAAAGAACTACATTTAACTTCTATAAATAAAGAGTATAGTTCAACTAGCTACTTACAGTTCCACTAGTATGTAAAACGTAAAACTACACTTAGGAATGTATTTTAAGAACATCGTGTTAATATCATATTTAAAAGAATCGATATTAATTTGCATTTGATTAAACTGTTCAATCCCATACACTATTGGGATATTTCTAAATCGGTCGGTCCATTATCACTAAGTTAAAGCAACTCTGTCTAGAGACATGGTCTTTTTTACTTTCACGACCCAACTGTCTTCCATTGAAATGGTTTATCGTCTATTTGATTTTTACTATTTTCAAAAAGGTTTATGTCCACAACATGACGTTTTGTACGATCGACTGACTGTTAAGGAGCATTTGTGGTTCTTTGGAAAACTGAAGGGTCTGTCTAGTGATGAAATCGATAGGGAAGTGGAAAAAATGATGGAGTCCATCAAACTAGCGGATAAAGCTAATGCTCAAACTAGATATTTGTCTGGCGGGATGAAACGCAAGCTATCTTTAGGAGTAGCGCTGATTGGAAAGACAAAGGTAGATATTATCACGTGCACATCACGTGCAGTTGTTTTATTACTAAAATCATTATCTGAACATCACTCGTGATATAGACTTAGGTATTTTGGACTAAAGTTTCAACATCAAATCACTTCAATTGAAGACATTAGACTGGAGTATATAAGAACTTAAGTTTCAACATCAGATCACTCCTGATGAAGACACTAGACTGGAGTATATAAGAACTAAAGTTTTTACATCAGATCATTCCTTATGAGGACACTAGACTGGAGTATATAAGGACTAAAGGTTTTACACATCAAATATTTCCTGATGAGAACTCTAGACTTAAGTCTGTAAAACTCAAGATCTGTTCTGCTTAGGCATAAATCTGTTTTAAAGTCTTCTTAGAAGATATGCTTTTAATTACCAAGTTAAAATATTCACCAACTCACTCCCTCAAGGTGTTAATGCTTGACGAACCTACTTCCGGTATGGATCCATCTGCCCGCATGTTTACTTGGAAACTGCTTGAGAAGTATCGTGACGGACGAACGATCTTGCTGACGACACATTTCATGGACGAGGCCGACTTTTTAGGAGACCGCATTGCGATAATGGCTGAGGGCAAAATCCGTTGTTGTGGTAGTTCATTGTTTTTGAAAAACCATTATGGCGTGGGTTATCATATAGTGATGGTCAAAGAACCAGAATGTAAAGAACACAAAGTTGATGAACTTGTTAAAGAGTATGTCCCGAATGGCCAATTGGAAAGTCGTGCTGGTAAGTTTTGATGTACTTCTCTAAGAGACTTTATAGGTTGAGCCTGCAGATATGAGGCAGCAGCTAGCTGCCGGATACGATAGAGTGACGAGCGTTGAATTATTTTAGCAAGTGAAACAAAGGAAAATTTATTATTTGACAAATTCATATGAACGTCTTCGTATTCAAAAAAGAATTGCCCAACATAAAATTCGAATTAAAGTCATTTTTTGAAAAGAAATAATATTTTATTGGTAGTTACGTTTTGTCTATACACAAGACATCATCAGACTAGTAATTAAGTTTAACAATTGATTTCAAAGACTCTCGAGCTATACAATACATGTATACATAAATTTCTTTCCAAAAGAATTAAACCCCTCAGCTCGAACTAAGCTGTCATTTGTTGAGAAGGCGTTGTATTTTTACCAACTTTATCATATTTTATCAGTATGAAGTTTAAATAGTATACATTTCTTTTGTTGTAAGTGTTTTTCGATGTAGTGTTTAGCCAGTAGTCCTTTGCAATACTTTTTTTACCTACGTTAGGCGCTGAACTGTCCTACATCTTGCCTCGGGAATCTTCGCGGAATTTTTCCACGTTGTTCTCAGAACTGGAGACTCGGCGAAGGGAGCTGGGAATTGCTAGTTATGGCGCTTCAATGACAACCACGGAAGAAGTTTTTATGAAAGTGGCAACGGAATGTGACAACACGTTAAATGATAGACTAAAAGGTAAGCTGTGGTAAAGGTGGTAAGTGTTGATTTCCTGGGATAAATGAAAGTAAAGGATTATGATGGGCACTACGTCATAGACTAAAAGGTAAGTTATGGCAAAGGTGGTAAGTGCTGATTTCCTGGTATAAATAAAAGTAAGGGATTGCGCCGGGACATTAGATGATAGACTCGAGAGTAAGATGTGGTAAAAGTGGTAATTGTTGATTGATTGGGATATCAATGAAAGTATAGGATTACGACTTGGTTTTAAATGATAGACTCGTGAGTAAGCTGTGGTAAAAGTGGTAATTGTTGATTGATTGGGATATCAATGAAAGTAAAGGATTGCGACGAGGTTTTAGATGATAGACTCGAGAGTAAGCTGTGGTAAAAGTGGTAATTGTTGATTGATTGGGATATCAATGAAAGTAAAGGTTTGCGACGAGGTTTTAGATTGATTGAGAGAGTATCAAGTGGTAAAAATTGTTTGATGGGGATATCAATGAAATTTTAATATTGCGACGAGGTTTTAGATGATAGACTCAAGAGTAAGCTGTGGTAAAAGTGGTAATTGTTGATTGTTTAGTATTGACTCATTTCAGAAAATGCTGATTTTGGTTTCATTTTACCAACACTGAATAGTTTTTTTTTTCATGGCGTTTCAAGTCGGCAATCATCAATGGATAATAAAGTACAGTGAATGATGAAGACACATTATATGGACGCAACAACAGCATGATGCCATTAACAAACACAACAAAGCCACAGTTAAACTGCGGAATAACCTTGTTTCTGCAAAGGTGGTGTGCTATGTTCAAGAAACGCTTTCGCCAATCGCGTCGAGATAAGATAGCCATAATTTGTCAGCTTCTCGTGCCTCTTATTTACACAATGCTCGCTCTGATTGTTGCTGACACGATTACTAAGCCCGAGGACTCTCCTCCCAGAATTTTGACGACAGCTATGTTTCATGATAACATTGCACCTTACTCAATTGTTGGAAACCCGAACAGGTAGATATATTGAACTTAAATATAACTGGACGGTTACTTCCCGCCAAAATTTGAAGCCAGCAATTAAACTATTCCCCATCTTTCCACGCACGGCCCAGAGAAACAGGCATGTTTCTGCGACGTGCTTTGTTCATATCAGCGACGTGCGTTTGTTTCATATCTTTGTTACAAGAAAAGAAACCGTTTTCGTTTTCTGGGCAGTAAACTAAACTTCTTGCAAGAAAACATGCTGATTTAAAATCCCGATTAGACATTAAAATTTGATGTAAGCGTAAATAAATCTTTTCAGGAGATAAATGATCTGGCTAAATGTACACACACCTCCGCAAGCTCGTACACTAAGTTTGTTGATATCGACAAAGGTAGTGCTTTCCGTGATGGAACATGACCAAATATTTGCTAGAAAAAGCCAAAGGCAGAAACATTGGATACTTCAGACGTTATCTGGTTGCAGCGACATTTATTGAAGAAAAAAGAAAGGTATTGCTTGCTAGTGTAGCTACATTGTTTTCATCCTCTCTGAAGGTGTGTAACTATGATAGGGGAATAGTTCTAATCAATATCTGTCAATTTAGTCTTTTTTAAGGAGTTCAAATTGTTGTAATGAGATTAGTGTGACTTGTCAGTTGAAAGCAGGTAATAAGACTTGTCGATCGAGGAAAGGTCTGTAGATAAAGAAAGTATCAAGGAAGTTTATGTAGATCGAGGAAGAATTTCTCATCAAAAAGGATCTGTAGATGAAGGAAAGATTTATTTGTAGATTGACGAAGAATCTGTAGATCAAGAAGGACTTTTTAATCAAAGAAGGATTAGTACATCAAGGAAGGAGCTGTAGATCATAGAAGTATAGGAAGATCAAGGAAGGATCTGTAGATGAAGGAAGGATCTGTGATCAAGGAAGGATCTGTTGATCAAAGAAGGATCTGTAGATAAAGGAAGGATCTGTAGATGAAAGAAGGATCTGTAGATCAAGGAAGGATCTATCTGTAAATGGACGAAGAATCTTTTGATTAAGAAGGGTTTTTTAATCAAGGAAGGATTTGTAGAGTAAGGAAGCATCTGTGATCAAGGAAGGATCTGTAGATGAAGGAAGGATATGTAGATGAAGGAAGGATCTGTAGATGAAGGAAGGATCTGTAGATCAAGGAAGGATCTGTAGATGAAGGAAGGATCTGTAGATCAAGGAAGGATCTGTAGATAAAGGAAGGATCTGTAGATAAAGGAAGGATCTGTAGATCGACGAAGAATGTTTAGATTAAGAAGGAGTTATTAATCAAGGAAGGATCTGTAGATCAAGGAAGGATCTGTAGATAAAGGAAGGATCTGTAGATAAAGGAAGGATCTGTAGATGAAGGAAGGATCTGTAGATGAAGGAAGGATCTGTAGATCAAAGAAGGATCTGTAGATCAAGGAAGGATCTGTAGATAAAGGAAGGATCTGTAGATAAAGGAATTATCTGTAGATGAAGGATCTGTAGATGAAGGAAGGATCTGTAGATGAAGGAAGGATCTGTAGATGAAGGAAGGATCTGTAGATCAAAAGAAGGATCTGTAGATCAAGGAAGGATCTGTAGATAAAGGAAGGATCTGTAGATGAAGGATCTGTAGATGAAGGAAGGATCTGTAGATGAAGGAAGGATCTGTAGATGAAGGAAGGATCTGTATATCAAAGAAGGATCTGTAGATCAAGGAAGGATCTGTAGATAAAGGAAGGATCTGTAGATGAAGGATCCGTAGATGAAGGAAGGATCTGTAGATGAAGGAAGCATCTGTAAATGAAGAAACGAGCTATAGATCAATAGAAAACAGAAATATGAGGTAGATCAGCAAGAATCTTGGCTAATTTAAGGTAATTTATGTGTGTTCTTATTTAGCAATAGCCAAGGCTTGGTTCAACGATCAAGCTTATCATGCGATAGCGGCGGCACTGAGTGCAGTGGACAACGCCATTTTGAAAAACAGTTCCGGGAATAAAAGCAAATTAATCACAGTCACAAATCATCCTTTGCCGAGAACTACAAACAAAAGTCAAATGATTTAGATGAGTATGTTATTTTTTGCTTTCGAGCTTTTCCCAAAGTTTCACAACAAGCGTTCCTATAACTATATAGGGACAAATAAATATGTTTTGTATATTCTTAATGAATAGCGTTTTAATAAAACATTATTCACTGTTAAATTTCCTGCGAAAACCACGCAATCTGAGTTAAAAAACAACGATTGTTTTAGCATTCAACCAATCGGCACCCGTGTTTTTATGTTATCAGGTATTGTTTTTTAGTCTCTCAAATTTCTATTGAAATTTATATGTATGTATTATGAATTGATATATATTAACCGTACATCCTGTGTCCCATGTGCAGGAGTCACCATTGCACTATTGTTATAATATATACAGCTTGTATAACAATGTGCCCTCCCGGCTATCACCATAGTGCAATGGTGACTCCTTAACTTGGGACACAGGATGCACAGTGAATATTTATATATACAAAGTGTATATACAATGTGCCCTCCCGGCTATCACCATATTAAAATGGTAACTCCTGCACTTGGGACACAGGACGTACGGTTGCACATTGTATGGATTGTATTTTAGAGTCACCACAGTGCTCAAACCTATAAAGGTGAGCTTTGCATATCGCGAACACGGTGAACGTCTCCATATGAGACTCTCTACACATCCGACAGTGCTCAAACTACGGGCGCAGTAGGTAATATACAAAATGTATACATGTGCCCTCCCGGCTATCACCATATTAAAATGGTGGCTCATACTTGGGACAGAGGATGTACGGTATATATATATATATATATATATTGATGAGAAAAAAAATCAAACTACGCACCCGACAAGTGTTTTAATTTCCTCAGAATAATGTCTATACAAAATGTATATGTGAAACCCTCGGCTATCACCATTTTAAAATTGACTCTCAATATTACGCTCTGTAAGCATCGCATGTACTTACGGAGATATATATATATATATATATATATATATGTATTTATGAGAGACTGATTTATTCCTGACACGACTGTGTTCACTTTAAAGGCAGGGATCGCTAAGCATATTTTTTATTAGGGGCGGGCTTATCGACAGCCAACGTTACGTGAAACTGTGAAAGAAGGGATTCGGGGGGGGGGCAACAGCCCCCAGTCTCCCTGCTCCGCTTTCTCTGAAGTCATCTGCAATGATCAATAGTTGCTAAGGCAACAAGGTCTAATTCATTAACTTTCTTTTTCTTTCCAGCATCTCTGTTGGTCTTAATATAGCTTTCAATCTGCTAATTGGCATGGCGTTTCTTGCTTCAAGTTTTGTCGTGTTTGTCGTCCAAGAGCGAACGAACGGTGCAAAACATGTGCAGTTCGTTAGTGGCGTTGATCCCATTAGCTACTGGACTGCTTCGTGGTTGTGGGACATGATGAAGTTCACACTTCCCTGTATCGGCATTGTTATTTTGTTTGCATGTTTTATCGTGCCTGCGTACACAGGTATGTCTAATTTCCCAAGCTATTACATAGCTGGCATTTGGTCATGTTATGTAGATTTTTATGTACTCTTTGTAAGAACAGTAAATAATGTTCTGAAATCTACATAGCAGGACTGAAAATTGCAGGTTCGATTTCTCATTGTCGTCATGGTCGCCAAAACGATTCTCTTACCTTTGGCGACCAAAACCCGAAAAAATTGGAATGATTTGAAACGCCGAATTTGATTCCAAGTTGTCAATTATCTTGCAATAGAACGTCATTTGCCTGATCTTTCAGCCAATCCGAACGTTGTGATTCAATAAAGTTATTTACAAAATGCTCGAGGATTCCTCGTAGTTGTCGAAATACTTGTTTGTAAGGAGAATGAACTGGACCCAAACCCCTAATCTCTCGGCCAATCAACCAACTTTAAACAATTCCAATAGTTTTTGATGACAAAATCACGTTATTCAAGGTTGACGTTGAATCTGGTTTGCGGCTGTGAGCCTGTGATAGCAACATACTTTAATACTTAGAATACGATCTTTTACAGAAGTATGTTTGGCAGTGGAGTTAGCTCACAGCACTTATATTTGTCTTTTTAAACACATTTTTCACTTGAAAGTTCGTGGAAGCACAGAATTGCATGTCAAACGTCACATTAAGCTCTCGGTCAACCCTTAAATATTCCAACAATTCTGTTGAAGTTAGCAACGTTCGGTTCTGGTGAATTTTCCCATTTCTCAACAACTGATTTTAATTCATTGCAGAAGCCTATCGTCTTGGAATAGTTTTCCTCGTTTTGATGCTTTATGGTTCAGCCATCATCCCGTTTGTGTATCTCTTCTCGTTTCTCTTCAAAACGGCCTCGAAAGCTTTCATCTTATTGATGTTGTTGAATTTTGTAACTGGTCCTGTCGCCTTGCTTGTTGTGTTCATCATTCAGAGTCTTGGCTACCATCACACTGTTGATGTCCTTAACTGGACTTTTTTGGTACTCCCCAACTTTTGCCTCGGACAGTCGTTCTCCAATATTTTTGAGAATTATAACCGTATCAGACTTTACAATATGTGCATGGAAAAGTATGCGCCGGTGATGTGCATGCCTCTGAAAGCGAGGATTCAGACGAATTATTTGGCCTTTGAAAATCCTGGAATTGGTCGATTTCTCTTGGTGTTACCACTTGAAGGAATCTTCTTCATGCTTATTATTCTGTTGATCGACTTCAATGCTATTCGGTCGTTGCGAAGCTCCATTACATCGGTGTACGTCGATCCGTTTGACAGCATGCATCCAAACGATGAAACGGAAGATTCCGACGTGATAGCGGAAAAACGACGAATACTCAACGACGAAGTGGACGAAGACGTGCTTGTAGTGAAAGATCTTACGAAAATATTTAAAGTTCCAGGTAGAGACTTTCGCCTTGCTGTGTTTGTAGATGTGTTGAAAAATATCCTTCTTTTATCAGTCGAAATCATGTCAAAAAATTTTTTTGTTTTTTAACACAATATTCTGGAAAGTTAAAAAAGATGGTTTTCATGAGCTCATTGTGCATCAATTTTTTACCACCAGAAAAGTCTTCACATACAAGTGTCTATGAAACAAAAATTTTGCTGTTTAAATAATGGTTTTGTTGAAATAAAACTTTTAAAATACAGTAGACTTTCTTAGAGAGTTTATGTTATATCTATGACATCTTTTTTTCATTCTCAAGACACGAGGAACCTGTAATGGCCAATTTTACAACCAGTATTGTCCCGTTGCAGAATGAGAACTTAAATTATAATGTATATTTACGTAATTCTCATCAGTTAAGTAATAAATGTATATTACTGATGTGTTTGTTCAGATGGGCAGAGTTCTCTTCGTTATGACATGTTGTCTGTACAAAACTCTCTCCAACGGTTGTACTCTCATAATCTGGAGAATGAAACAAGATTGTCTTGAAAATATACAATACTCTCATTGTCTGGAGAATGAAACGAGATTTTAATGAAGACTTTTTTAGAAAGTTCACTGTCGTTTTGAAACTTCTATTCAATGAAAATATATAAAAGAACAAAGCTTCTTCTTTATTAACACTTTATTTTTTCCCAAATAAGGTCGTCGAAGATTTGCTGCAGTGGATCACATCAGCTTGGGAATACCTTTAGGTGAATGCTTCGGTCTCCTGGGAGTCAATGGCGCGGGAAAAACTACAACGTTTAAAATGTTAACAGGCGATGTGATTCCAACTTCGGGCACCGCCGTCCTTGACTCGTGGGATATTCAGACTAATTTAAGTCGGGTATGTTTTTATTGTTGTATATGATCAGTAAAGTAGCCAGCCTGCAGACTTACTTCCGCTATGTAAATTTTTAAAAATTACAATTATTCATGTCTTTAGAAATCTATTTTTCTCACTGTCAGTAAATACAAAAATATTAGGAAAGCGGAAGTAAAAAGTCGAGTTGGCTACACTACTCTATATCATCTGTTCGACTTTTCCCGCTTTAACTTAAATTGAAGAATCATGTAAAGACCATTGAACCAAATTTACAACTGGATGGGTACTTTACATTCCGTTATATATTTATTTCAATTAACTGTCCGCGAACTGTAAACTTGCTAGCCTCGTACCGAGGTGCTTTGATTCCCTGAATCATTTGTGCGAAAAAGTGCAGCGCGGGACGACATGCGTGAATAAAAAATGGGAAAATTGTAACAGCACGCTAATGTGCGACGCCCACACACGCCACGTGACATTCAATTTGTTAATCATCAAATAATTCAAAGCACCTGGCTACTAGGCTGATCTGACATCAAGATTTTAAAGCAGTAATTCATCCTTAACGAGACATAAACGCCATTTAGAGGAATTTCATGCTTGGAATTTAGGATGTAAATTAATTAATATTCGCAGTTAGTTTTGTTAGTTTAGCCATCGTACTAGTCTCGAACTAGTCATTACTACGTCATTGCGGAAAAAGTTGAACACGCAATGGTATGCATGCAGCCATTGAGGAGGCTGTTATGCAAATTACAGGTTTGCAGATTTTTCAATACTCTGTATACCATTTAAATGGTGCATACAAAGAAAACATACTGTGGTATGTCACTACTCCCCTGTGAGTGAACAACAACACAATTTTTGCCATTTTGCATGACATCTACATTGTAAATAAAGAAAATCTTCGTTGAAATCCCCCAACTTGGCGCGGTCATGACTTAAATGCATGCCAGGAACAAGCAAATATTTTTTAACGGGCCAATGTTATTTTCTAGTGGTAAATTTCTGTTGCAATATTTAGTGTTGACGTTGCAATGCCTGTAATATTTCTGTTGCAATGTTTAGTGTTGCTCATTTACGAAATGGAGCTTGGTATATAATTGTTCAATGATATTACGACGCAAAACAAGTTGTAACCAGCCATAAATAAAAGCCAAGCGAATTACATTTGACGTTCAAAGATCGAGCAACTAACTCTTACTTACATAACAAATAATTTCTTACTTGTTTATAAATGAACTCCCTTTTCAGTCGTTGCTTGTTGTCGGCCACTTTGTAGGTAATTGGTCAGATATATTTCAATTCCTCTGCATAGCAAACTTGTAAAATATAAACGTTTCAATGGTCCGTTGTATTGTCCGCCATTTTGGTTCTTCTTCCACAATGCGCACCGTCCAACGAAACCACATTATGTAGCGAAACACAGCCTCAGCACAGTATGACGAATATATCGAAGATAACTTCATTGACATTTTTTGTGCCACCCGTATTATTACCACAGTGTAGTGGCTCAACAGGATGTTTCGAAAAAACTGCTCGTCTTTGAAATCAGCCGACCTTCAGACTTTGCATGATTCAGCAGTAATTGATCTCCAAAACCTGTAAACGCAAGAAGACAATAATACATACGAATCGCGGCTACTGTTCGTTGCAAAATTCAAGCATGAAATTTATTTCAATTGCCGTTACGCCTTAGTTGCGGATCAATTACTCCTGAAACAGGCAAAGGGAAACGTCGGCTAGTTTTAACTGTGTAGAAGGAAAGAACCTTCTTTACGTTCGTTATTCTGTAGCTAATGCATAGAAAACAAACAATAATACCATTTGGCTGCGCAACTTGGTGCTGTATATTTAGTACCGACTGTGGTCAACCATCGATAGTTGGGGGGAAGAGTATTGATATATGCATATATATTTATGACCCCGAAACCTTCCTACGTTTGCATCATTGTGTCAACAACAAATACTTCAATCGGGAAAATTGCTTTGTACACGTTATTTTCATGAGTTAGTATGTTTCATTGTTAAAATTTCCGTGTTTGGGTGGCTTGATGCAAACACGAGCATCGACCAATCAGAGCACGCGTTATACATGTTGTTTTGTGAATGAAAATTATAATTTTAAATGTAAATTATGTTGTTTACCAAGGTTCGTCAACGAACAGGCTATTGTCCACAATTTGATGCTTTGATCGATTTATTGACGGGACGGGAGATGTTGCAAATGCATGCTGCACTTCGTGGAGTCCCCAGTCATGAGATCAATCCATTGATCGAAGATTTAATGAGATCAGTGTTGCTAACGGAACACGCTGATATGTTAACTAAAACATACAGGTATAATAGAAGAAAACGTCGTCTACTTTCAAATAGAATGCTGTACTATAAATGCTCACCCTAGGTTTTGCTATTTATATATTCATTTTGGTTTATTTGACGTTGAAACCTGAGTATTTATATACTCCTGTGTAGTTTCTTCATGAAGAAGGATCTGTTGTGCAACTTAAGTCCTTATATACTCCAGTCTTGTGTCTTTATCTGGAGTGATCTGATGTTGAAACTTTAGTCCTTATATACTCCAGTCTTGTGTCTTTATCTGGAGTGATCTGATGTTGAAACTTTAGTTCTTATATACTACAGTCTAGTGTCTTTATCTGGAGTGATCTGATGTAGAAACTTTATTTCTTATATACTCTAGTCTAGTGTCTTCATCTGGAGTAATCTGATGTTGAAACTTCAGTTCTTATATACTCCAGTCTAGTATCTTCATCTGAAGTGATCTGATGTTGAAACTTTAGTTCTTATGTAATCCAGTCTAGTGTCTTTATCATGAGTGATCTTTTGTTGAAACTTAAGTTCTTATATACTCCAGTCTAGTATCTTCATCAGGAGTGATCTTTTGTTGAAACTTAAGTTCTTATATACTCCAGTCTAGTATCTTCATCAGGAGTGATCTTTTGTTGAAACTTTAGTTCTTATATACTCCAGTCTAATATCTTCATCAGGAGTGATCTTTTGTTGAAACTTTAGTTCTTATATACTCCAGTCTAGTATCTTCATCAGGAGTGATCTGATGTCGAAACTTTAGCTCTTATTTACTCCAATCTAGTGTCTTCATCAGAAGTGATCTGATCGTAAACTTTAATCCTTACATACTCCAGTCTAGTATCTTCATCAGGAGTGATCTTTTGTTGAAACTTTAGTTCTTATATACTCCAGTCCAGTATCTTCATCAGAAGTGATCTGATGTTGAAACTTCAGTTCTTATATACTCCAGTCTAATATCTTCATCAGGAGTGATCTGATTTCGAAACTTTAGTTCTTATATAATCCTGTCTAATGTCTTCATCAGGATTGATCTGATGTTGAAACTGTAGTCGTTATGTACTCCAGTCTAGTGTCTTTATCAAAACTGATCTGATGTTGAAACTTTAATCCTTACATTCTCCAGTTTAGTGTCTTCATCAGGAGTGATTTTACGTGGAAGTTATGCCATTGGCGCGTCAAAAATCCGCCATCTTTTTATAGCAATCCCAGGCTCCTTAGATCACGAATACAAAGATTACCTTTTCTTTTTACAGTGGTGGAAACAAACGCAAACTAAGTACAGCAATAGCTTTGATTGGCGATCCACTCATAATTTTTCTCGATGAACCAACAACTGGAATGGATCCTGTTGCAAGACGACTGTTGTGGAACACTTTATGTAGAGTCAGAGCCGAAGGTATGAAACTGGTGATGAAGCGGGTTTCCTTCCGGGGGGGGAGAGATGTGTTGAAGAATGCAATTACATACAGTTCATACCCGCCTAATATGAGCGCCATTTTGGTTATTATTAAAAATAATAATCTCTCCCCTTTGGTCGATGCCTGATGATTGGTAACCATTTTGTCCCCTCCCCTCTCCCCTTAGGTCGATGCCTTGTGATTGGTAATCATTTTTTTCCCTCCTCTCTCCCCTTAGGTCAATGCCTTGTGATTGGTAATCATTTTGTTCCCTCCTCTCTCCCCTTAGGTCGATGCCTGATGATTACGTCACATAGGATTGAAGAATGCGAGGCGTTGTGTACTCGGTTGGCAATCATGGAAAATGGCAGATTGCGCTTTCTCGGTAGCCCGCAACACCTGAAGAACAAATTCGTTCAAGGATTCACTTTGTTGGTAAACCCTCCAAGTGACACGCCCAGTAATGACTCGACCTTGGTAAAAGAATTCGTGGCAGAGACGTTCCCAGGTAGTGTACTTCGAAACGAGCACAATGGCTTGTTGAATTACCACATAGGCGACTCAAAAAGCTCTTGGTCTTCCCTGTTTGCGATCTTAGAAGATGCGCACAGCCGTTCTGTTATTGGTAATTATTCTATAAAACAAACCACACTGGATGAGATATTTTTAAATTTTGCTCTCTCACTGGGAGGCTACGACGATTAGATGGTTGATTAATATCGTCGTACATGGGGCAGTGTGACCATTAATTTTGAATTATAACTAAATCTTTTTTATCGTGTTAATGATTGTTTGGTCGATTTAAAATTTTTCAATCGCACCTTGTATACGCCACTAAATGTTGCATACACCAAAAAGAATCACCCGAATGAAGTAAGCACGATGCCACGACCTAGAACCCAGTCTACTAGATACCTGACACCGCCAAAATTTTTAGTTACGAGTTTGGCAAGCCGCCATCTTGAAAGGTGGCAAAATTGACGATATTTACGAGTAAAATATGCTTTTTTTGCATTGAAATGCAGTTGCAGAATTGATAGTATAGGTTTGATTTTTAAAATTTTTTTTAAAATTTCAGCTTATTTTTGATTGAGAGTTTTGGTTTTTGCCACCATTCAAGATGGCGTTCTTGTCTCAGGATGTCACGTTCACATCTTGGGGATTGGGTTCTAAATCATTGAGTATGACGTTATAAAATAATGTCAAGAACCATGCCAGGCTCTCTCACGCGACATATTCCAGAGCGAACTCGGTTGGCATTCAAAAAACACACTACGATTCTTCAATTGTAAAACTGATATATTTCATAAAATATTTTATAAAACATCAACATACCTTGTTACATGAGCGAAAATGTTTACAAAACAACAATTGTATGCTTTATCAATGAAAAGTGAATGAATTTCTGCGGTTAAAAATGTAAAATTTGTGTGTGGTATTTGTAATATTGTGAGATTTCTCTCTTTTATTGCTTTATCATGTTACTTATATACAGATCTTTACTTATTTATAATATACGTAGTATGACGTACGAAATACTAATAATCTGAATAATAACTATACTACATCTCTCCCCAAACTAATTAAATATATTTTTTTGTATTTTGTATCTATAAGTTCATATATGAAAATATTAATTGTTTCTTTTATAGCTAAATAACTTTTATCTCTAAATTAACTTTCAACTTGTCCATATCGAATAGGGGCTTTTCTTGTACGCAAAGGATACCGCCGTTCTTTTTCCTTTATACTTTCCTCAATGGGTTCTCCTAGACTTTTCCCATTTTCTATCTTCTTGAAAAATGAAGAATTACGAGTATACACATTCTATCTTTCTTAGCTGTTACCATTGAACCTTTTCTTTCCACGACTTCACATGGCTTACCATCATTGGGTGTTTGTTGTTTATTAGTGGTCGTATCTTTCTTTACTAGCACCATATCACCTACTTTAATCTCACTTGTCTTTACGTTCCTGTTATTGTCTGCATGTAATTTCATCTTCAATTTTGCTCTTTCATCCTGTACTCGAATTCTTTCCTCTGTATCTACATGAAATGGTTCTTCAGGTAAACGTACTTTCATTGGTCGACTGAATAAAGCCATAGAGGAGAAATTTTGGTCGAACTATGAGGTGTGGCACGATAATTTCGCAGGAACCTATGGATTTCTTGCTTCCAATTTTTTCCCTTCATTATCGCAGCCTTTATTGTCTTTTTGATATTACGCATAAATCTTTCCACTTCCCCGTTGGCTCGTGGCCAATAAGGAGTAACTTTTCTGTGTTTAAATCCCAAATACTTTGAAAACTCGTAAAATTCCTTGCTATTGAATGGCGGTCCATTGTCTGAACGTATCGTATCTGGTATCCCGAACTCCGAAAGAATCTTATCCAAACAGGGTATAACAGTCTTTGCGGACGTTGATCGGATTACTTCTACAATAGAATATCTGGAAAAATCATCATACAAAACAAACAAATATTCCCTTGTGCCTGTAGGAGTTACACCAAAGTCCATACTTAGTTCTTTCCAAGGAGATCTTGGCAACTCTGACATTTTCAATGGTTCCTTTTCACTGACTGGAGTTGTAATCTGACAGGCTAAACACGATTTAACTTTTTCATTAACTAACTCATCTATACGTGGAAACCATCCCTTTTCACGTAATAACCCTTTCGTTTTTGACATTCCCTTATGACCTTCATGAGCAATGTTCACTACTTTCTCTCGTAAACTTTCTGGTATGATTATTTGATGTTTTCGTAGAATTATACCCGAAGATATGCAAAGTTCATCTTTAAGTTTCTCATATGAACTAAGTTCTGCTTGGTTTACTCCTAACATCTTTGAACTCTCAAACCATCTACCTGTTTCAATGGCTTGAATTACTGCTCGAAGAGTAATGTCTTCTCTTGTAGCTTCTTCCAGATCTTTCCTGCTGATTGTTCTTGGAACCGAGTTCTGTGTAACGAAATTAACAAATTCTTCTGCTACTTTCTCTTGCCGGTTGTTTAGTTTCTTATCAGATAAGGGATGACGTGAGAGAAAATCTGCAGGATTTTCAGTTGCAGGTTGAAAACAGATTTCAAAATCATATGGTTGCAATCGCAAAGCCCATCGTTCTAATCTCGCAGATGGCTTTGATGATGGATTTGTGTATATTTTCACCAGCGGCTTGTGATCAGTGACGATGGTGAATTTTCCTCCAAACAAACATAAATGAAAATGTTCGCAGGCCCATACTATAGCTAAAGCTTCTTTTTCCAAGTGAGAATAATTTTTCTCTGTGGTAGTTAGTGATTTACTAGCGTAAGCAATTATTTTCCTTTTTTCTTCTCCCTTTTTCCTCTGCGCCAAGACTGCTGCAATACCAACTGGACTAGCATCTGTGAAAACCTCCGTATCACTATTCGGATCGAAATACGCACTTTCTGGCCCATCTGTTTATGCTTTCCGTAGGGCTTTCATTGTGTCTTCTTGTTCTCTTGTCCACACGAATGGGGCATCTTTCTTGATAAGTCGACGTAACGGCTCCGTATTTGTGGCATAATGTGGAATAAACCGACAGCAAAAAATTGGTCATGCCTAACAAACTTCGTACTTCTCCCACATCTTTAGGATTTGTGCATTCCTTAATTGCTCTCACTTTATTGGGATCTGGCACAATACCATTCTCTGAGAACACATACCCTTGAAATATTAAACTTCTTTTCTTAAACAGACATTTCTCCTTCTTAAGAGTTAGTCCTCGATCTTTAATTCGTTGTAATACCGCGTTCAAATTTGCATCGTGATCTTTCTCGTCTACGCCAAACACCATAATGTCATCACTGATATTAATCTCGCCTGTCAGTCCATTCAACGTTTCTCTGATGGCATTTTGGAATATCTCTGCAGCACAGTTTATTAGAAAATTCAAACGTTGAAATCTCCGTAGACCAATGTGTGTTGAGAAGGTTGTCAAATATCTTGATTCTGCATCGAGCTCTAACTGGTTATAGCCTTGATTTAAGTCCAATTTTCTAAACCATACAGCACATTTAGATCACTTATAATTTCACCAATCGTTGGAGTCAAGTGTCGTTCTCTCTTTATTGCTTTGTTTACTTGTCGCATATCTATACAAACTCGGACCTCCCCTTTTTGTTTTGGTACGACCACGACTGGTGAAACCCAAGGTGTTGGTCCATCCGTTTTCTCTATGACTCCACGTTCTTCTTCTCATTTTAACTGTTTCTCCAAGTCTTTTCTCACATGAAACGGTACCCGACGATGAGGTTGTGCGATAGGTTGTACGTCCTTATCTACATGTAGATGAACTTGAAACCCTTTCAATTTTCCCAGTCTTTGAAAGACTTCTTGATATTTGTTAATTAGCTCTTCCACTTTGGTATCTTCTCTCACTTTTTCTTGTGCCTTTTCTTTAACGGGTTCCTGTTTAGACTTTGTAGTGTCTTCTATGGATGCAACTATTTGTACCAGGCCCAATTTTTGAGAACTTTTCCAGCTTATCAAGCAACCCGTATTCCCATTAACAACAAAAAATGTCTCCAACCCATATAGTTTATCGGTTTCGACCACACACTGGCATTTTCCTTTAATTGATAGTTGTTTTTTCGACCCATAAGGAAAGATTTTCTCATATGCTTCCTGCAATATTGGCTTTTTCTTCAATTTGTTAAAATTCACTTCATCCAAGAGATTTACGCTGGAACCGTTATCTGCCATGACTGACACAGTAGTACCATTTATCTTAACTTTAAATTTCGGCAGCTTTTGTTGCGCCGTAAACGTTGAAAATACATATTCATCTTCCATACTTGATTCGGACGTTGTTTCTTGCACCGTATTCACTTGTCGAGGTCTTACTTGATAACGTTTTATCTGTCCGTTTCGCTTTGTTGATTCAGCGCGAGAACTTTGATAATTGTTTTGCATCAGCTCTTTGCCTCTTCGATTCTCATAGCAACAAACTTGAAAATGGTTCCACTTTAAACACCACTGTCGACATTTCTTTCCATATGCATTGCAATTTGTTTTCCCCGGACGATGTTCACGAGCACAAAATTTGCATTTCATCTTCGATGAATATTCGGAAGCATTTGAGGTTTTATCCGTAGGCGTCTTGAACTGCTTTCTTTTATGCCAAATTTGATTCGTGCTTTCGATGCCTTCTGCTTGTGTTTTTGACATCTCCATTGTTTTTCCCATTTGTATTAATTTCTCCATCGTTATTTCGGGGTCTGCTAACGCTTTTCTCCGCAATTTTGAAGACGAACCATTTTGTATGATCTAAGTTTTTTATCTCTCTGCTTTCTTTATGAAATTCGCTGGATTTGGCCAATTGTTTCAATCTTGTATAGTACGGGGATATGTTTTCTCCTGAGAGTTGTTTCGCTTGACGAAACTTATAAACTTCAAATTCTATATTCTTCTGTGGAGTGAAGTAATTTCGTAACGCTTTCTCCGCTTTTCTAAATACATCTTCTTCTCTATCTGGCTCGTCAATTTTTAAAGTTTCAAATATCTCACTAACTTCTTCACCGACATAGTGCAGGAGCATCGCCTTCTTTTTTGCGGCGTTTGTGAGGTTCACTGCCAACAACAAATTCTCCAATCTTGATACGTATTTTCCCCAAGCTTTTCTAAGGTCTGGTTCTTCTAAGTTGAACGTCGGGAAGATGGCAAAGCTGTCATGCTCGAACTGTAGTATCTTTCTCAGGATCAAATCATATTTCTTCGTCCCTTAATAATCTTTGTCGCCAAATGTAATATTGTGAGATTTCTCTCTTTTATTGCTTTATCATATTACTTTTATCCCATCTTTGTCGCCAGATGTAATATTGTGAGATTTCTCCTTTTATTGCTTTATCATATTACTTTTATACAGATCTTTACTTAATTATATTATACGTAATATGACGTACGAAGTACTAGTAATTTACATAATAACTATACTACAGTATTTATTATAAACACGGCTCTTTTCTATACGACAATAAAATAATTTACATATATTTTGCAACATGAACTATTGTCGCTACTGTGTATTTGGCGACTTGGTTTATTGAATATAAGTCTGAAGGCATTTGACTTTTAGGTGCATCATATACAAAATATAGATATATATAAAGATTAATATAAAGATTAATATAATTTATATGGTATGAAAATTTTTGACTTATTCTGGATAACGAACTTTGTTGAGATTTTTTCTTTCTAAATCTTCGCTTAACGTAATTGCTGGAAAGAGATTATTAAAACACGGTTATGCGATTGTCCAGTTGGTAAAACCTCAAGCAATAACTGCCTCGATATATATTTAGTCAGTTATCATGAAATAAGTGTGAATATAATGAGAACGACGCGTGAACTTATCGTGAAACACGCGGGAGTTTCTCCTTTAACTTGCTTGAAATTATCTCCTCACTACAACCGCTAGAATTTATTAAACGTCCGAGGCGTTAATTTACCATTCACGGCATGCAAATAAATATGAAACACGGACTACACCAATGTCTTTCTCATTGTTAATGACGTAATAGGGTCAAGAAAATCATTATGCAGTTTTCCATGTCAAGATGGTGATGGTACAATTTAC